ACAACTAACTTTTGGGCCTCAGAATAAGGAGATAATGATGTTACCCTGTGTAATTTGTTCAACAGCACAGGTTATCTGGGTCAGCGTTGGAATGTTTGTGTGCAGGGAGTCTCAGGCATGGCTGTGTCGGACAGCAATCACTGCTGGCATTGACATTGCTGGGAAGGACATATTACAGAGGAGTTTGAAAAATGTCTATTTTTCTTAGGCAACAGAAATCTGCAAATTTACAGTGACAATTCAAACACCAGAAGTTCTCATTTCCAACAAATATTTCCATTTTGCAGCATTCAACTTGCTCTCAAATTGACCTTTCCCTAAGAAAGCACACAGTGCAAAATGCAAAAAAAAAGAAAAAAAGAAACCAAGAGCTCACTTAGAAACACAATTTTCCATTAAAAGCAGTTTTAATGAAATATATTCCATCAACCTTAGTTGCTTCTGACAGTCAGTAAGTGATTCGGGTGCCTAAACATAGGATTCAGCATCTATCTTAGAAACACTTTAAGGCATCCAGGGCACCTGCCTGGAGCTGGGGATGTGACAGCCACGTGTAAGACCCTTACCTTCCTCAGCCTGCAGCTGGGGCTGGGGAGGGACACTCCAGGGCATCTAGAAAAGCATTACACACCCTGGGTTAGCCAATTAGTCTCTGAATCTCTACAATTTCAAACAGTAAAACATCCCATCTGGTACTGGTCTTAATGGGCTGTCAGAGCCTGAGAAAGGAGAGAGGTCAGTGGCATAGTGCTCGAGTTTCACCCTACATTCATGACACTGTTTTGTCCCATCCTGATTATTTTACACCAGAGCAGCCAGAAATCAGTGTGCTGACAGCTCCATGCCATGATCTCCAGCAAAGTGCTGAGCACCGGGTAGGTGAGTCACCAGCTGCCTGCAATTCCAAGTCCTAGAGCAAGAGGCAGGTTGCAATCATAGAATCATAGAATTGTTTAGATTGGAAAAAGCCTTTAAGAGCATCAGATCCAACCATTAATCCAGCACTGCCAAGCCCACCACTAAGCCATGTCCCTGAGCACCACATCTACACATTTTTTAAATACCTCCAGGGGTGGTGACTCAGCCACTCCCCTGGGCAGCCTGTTCCAGTGCTTGACAACACTTTCGGTAAAGAAATTTTTCCTAATATCCAATCTAAACCTCCCATGGTGCAACTTGAAGCCATTTCTTGTCCTATCACTTATTACTTCGTTAAAGAGGCTCATCCCCAGCTCTCTGCACCCTCCTTTCAGGGAGCTGTAGAGGGTGATGAGGTCTCCCCTCAGCCTCCTCTTCTCCAGACTAAACCCCCCCAGTTCCCTCAGCCGCTCCTCGTACGACCTGTGCTCCAGACCCTGCACCAGTCTCGTTGCCCTTCTCTGGACACACTCCAGCACCTCAGTGTCTTTCTCTTAGTGAGGGGCCCAAACTTGAACACAGGAATCAAGGTGCGGCCTCACCAGTGCCGAGGACAGGGGTGAGATCCCTTCCCTGTCCCTGCTGGCCACACTATTTCCAATACAAGCCAGGATGCCATTGGCCTTCTTGGCCCCCTGGGCACACTGCTGGCTCATACTGAGCCGATTGTTGACCAACACTCACAGGTCCTTTTCCACCAGCCAGTTTTCCAGCCACCCTTCCTCAAGCCTGTAGCATTGCATGGAGTTGTGACCCAAATCCAGGCACCTGCAGCAAGAACCAGTGCTCTCCTGGGAACCCTCCTAGCACATGATGTGCAGCCTCAGCAAGCTTGGCAAGAAAAAAGTGAAATCTGGTGTTTGGCAACCTGATTGTGCAAGGAACAAGAGGATAAATGGAGCTATAGCTAGCAACCAACTCTACGTAACCTTCCCTGAAGCTATAAAAAGACAAGAAGGATTAATTCTTGTCTGAGTCAGCACTATTACCGTTTCTTGAGTCACAGAGTCATAGAGGAAATGCTGGAGAGCCATATGCTGGAGAAGGAAAGAAGACAGAACATAACAGGAAATAACATAAATGGGATTTGTATTGTTTAGTTTTCAAGCTTTGAAGATTGAAACCCTTCTCCTTCTTCCTTATTACTTTATTGCTTTGGCTATAATCTTTGTGAAAATACAAAGAATTGCCTAAAGAATTTTCTATAGTGACCCACCAGTTAGTGTCAGCAAAGAGTTGTTGGGCTGTCCTGGGTTTCTGGGCTACTGATTCAACTTGTCCTTTTCTGATGAAAGCGGAGGTTTAGCCATGTTGTCTAAGATGTGATGTTATAAACAGAACATGGGGTATTAACCATTTGAACTTAAATTTTAATGTGACGGCAAATGGATCTGTTAACAGAATTAGTTATCTTTTCTTCTTCATTTTTTTAAGGTTTAATGAAGAATATTTTTTTTAATTCTTACCTCTTTTAGTAGAATTATTACACACAAGTTGAGCCAAAGTACATAGGATTTTACATGTCCTGAAAAATATGTACCCAGCTGCATTGCTGATATGGATCACTGAACTACAACCAGCCTAAACTGGCTCCTGAATTTTGTCATACCCCTTTACTCCTAGGCTGTACATTTTGGACCTGAATTTCTGCTGGCATTGTAAATTTACCCCAGTGAGGAATTTGGCCTTCACTTTGCGGAGAGACAAATAAAGTCTCACTATTGTGTTTGTGTTTGGATTGTTCCTAGTGGGTTTTTGTAGGTGTTTTTTATTTCTTCTTTTTGCTCCAGTGATTCATTTATGAAAAAAGATGATGAGATTCAGGCTTCTGATGGTATTTCCATTACCCAGGAATTGAAGTACTCTGAACAGGCCAGGACTTGCATAAAGATAAACACACGTACCCAAAGTGAACGCAAATACTTTAAATACAGAAAAATATTACAACTTGTGCCCTGTGCTACGTGCCCAGCGGACCTTCTGCTATGGATTTATGGCTGTTGTCACAATACTTTTTTCTCCAGCTTTTTTTGGAAGAAAGCTTTTTCAAGAACTAAATTAATTGAATTTATAGAGTGTGTTGAAGTAAAAATATTGTCCATACAGATGCACACACATATATATATATGCATATACATTTAATTAGCAATCAGTTCTTATCGTGATTTGATCTAAATCCAGCAGATTAGGTTATCTGATAATTACTTTGTTTTGAGTTTGGATCTCCAGGGTAGACACTGGACTCTAAATAACATAATTAGTTTGGGAAAGGGCACCAGCTTCTCAGCAGTTCACTGCCATTTTCTCAAATGTGCTTCCTCAGAGTCATATGAAGATCTTCCATTCCAAATAAATTCAAAGCCATGTGTCAGTTGCCAAAAACATTATGAGAAATAAGGGAATTTCATGCACCAATTTTTTTGAGAGTAATCTGCTTATACAGTTTCTTGACTCTTAGCTCAATATTTTCCAGCGTTTGTGGTGCAGCAGAATAAAGATCATGTTTTATTCTGGTTATGAAAATTTAGCTATATATTATTAGAGACTTTAGAAGTAGTTTGACACGCTTGTAACCAGAACATGGGCCAAAATGAGTAATGTTTTGTCATCAGTGAATTTCTGCTGCTTCAGAAAAAGTGATCTTACTGTCATAACCAGCAGTGGTCTTACATCTTATATCTTCAGATGAAACTTGGTCTCTTGTGGCTGTGCTAGAAAAGTGATACATTTTCTATTTGCTCTATAAGCAGAATTTCAGTTGCCCGGGCTATCTCTTTTGCTGCATAATAAATGTGAAATGTTGTTCAAGTTTTATTTTTCCTATTCATAAATAAGAAATCTCATTCTCATTTGGTGCAGAGACGCTTCAGGTGCCTTACTAACATTTTATTGTCTGCCTCAGTAACAAATATGCTGTCTATCCAGAAACACTGTGGCTTCCATTAGACCGTTCTATTCATTTGATTCAAGTGGACAATAAAACATGCTGAATGACAGCATGTCACTGATGACTATAGAGCTTTAAAGAAAAACCATTCTGTCTCCTGCCCTTTCATTGGTTTTCCCATATGAGTGTACACCCCCCCACCCCCCTCGTATTTTAATGGAGGTATGGTCTTGTTATATTTCTACTAAATTTTAGTGATTAGCCCAGTGTAAAGCCTTGTCAGATAAAACTGATTACACTGGTTTTCGCAAAGGGGAAAGTAGGTACCAAGATCTCAAAGATTAGCAAGTACCCTGCTGTTGGGACATATTGGTTAAATGTATTTTTGGTAAATTATTGTGCAGTACTTGGAAAACACTGGAAAATTGAGAGGTTCTTTAAACAAAATATAGATATGTCCATCTGCTTTGGGCACAGGTGGAAGAGATGAGTGAGAATCAGTGCTAAAAATGGCTGGTCTGTGACTCATATTAGGGATGTGAATTGGTAGATTATCTGGTACGGTAACAAAAGACATTTCTTTCACTCAGGTTGGAGTTTACAATGTTTCAGAAGCCTGGTCCAAAGCCAGCACCGCTTATGTCTCTGTTTGGCTTAGGCAGTGCATAGGTCTCATGTGCTGCACAGGGGTGAGGTGTTATTTGCATTTACATTTCTTCTTAGTCCTCCTAGTCAAGCAGAAGTGTAAGCGACTGTAATTCTTCTCTCTATTAACTAGATATGACACTTCAGCAACTTCTACCTGAAATACATCTAGTTTTCTGGAGTCCGTCAGACTCCATCTGGAGTTCCTTATCCTCAGGGATCAATTGGACCTTCAGATGCTCTTCAGACATTAGATATCAATATGTGATTTTCAAGGTAAGCCAGGAAGTATTTCTTTCTTTCTGAAATGCAGGTATGTTGTGGGGTTTTTCCCCTGTTTATTACGTATTTCTTCTATGGAGAAGGAGTATTCCAAAAGTGTATTGGAAATACTCTCCCCCTTTCTAAATGCTAACATTTTGTTCCTTAATTAGAGAGTGGCTAGAGGCTGTAACTTGGATGCACTGGCCTTCTTTCAAGAAATTGTTTTTTTAAAACTTGGCCACAACAATCAGCTAGGAGGGCTTTCCTGTGTACTTCTTCTAAGATGGAAGACCTAACACAACATTATTACAGAAGCATACAGTGCTCCAGTGAACAAATGCCTCGCACTCTAAGTGATGTCCTACCTGTGTGCAGGCGTGCAGACCCCAGCCTTTACCTCCTGGAGGTCAGATCTATGGGACAGCAAGCTCTTTGGGAGAGGCAGCATCTTTTCATTACGCGTGAGTGCAAGGCATAGCATAATTGTGACATCTAGAAGCCACTGCAAATTTCCAGGACCAGACTGTGAATCTCTGTTGTAACAAACCTTTGCTTACCCGAATGACCTCTGTGAAACTGGTGCTTGCAATATGGACCATAATAAACAGTAACGACAGAAATAATAATAACAATGCATTTCTGTGGCTGCCTCCCTTTTCTATTACATGAGAGACATTCAGGTACTGCAAGATGGATATAGCATAAAATATAGCTGTTTCGTATATAATGGCAGTACACGCAAGGTAACTAAATGAACTATCTTGGAGAATGATGATAGTGTATGCTCAGAATGTTACATGTCTCCACCTCTTAAAATTATGTACACTGTTTACACCACCTCTTGGTTGAGTAGGGATTTATTTATGTTGCTCCATGTCCAACTAAATGTTAAATATGACGTCATGCAGTACTGCTCCATCTCTGGGTGAAGGTACAAGTGGAAAGACATACAGAACTTTCTTCTGTGACATTCCTATCTACAGATACCTATGAATTGATAGAAATAACCTTTTGTAATACACACAATTTTTTGTAGTTCTAATTTTTATTGTGCCTGCTGCCTGAAAGATGATAAGACTTATTCATAAATTCACACTCCAGTGGTTTGATAAATATATAACAGTCTGAAAAGGAGTTTCTTGGTGCAGTGCATGTTATTCATCAGGTCTCAGTTTTTCTTGGGTTTGGTCCTAAGGTTTATTCTTTTTTTTTTTTATTTATTATTTGACATTTTTGGCTGACTTCTCTGATCCTTTTCCTACCAACAGCCCCAAGGAAAAATAGCACCTGGGACAAGTAAAACTAAATATGGCGTGACGAAAAATATGTTTATAAACCTTTATTATATTATCTCTTATTCTCTATCTGACAAATGAGGAGGCGAGAATATTGTAAAGTGATATTCTATAGCAGGCACAACGCTTATCAGTTATTTTCCTTTGACCTTCTGCCTTAGAAAATTAATTCACTTGGGCTGTTCATACACTAGAACATTAGGGAAAAAATAATGTTAGCACTAGTGAACATAATCTCTGCAGGCAAGCTGGGCAATTATTCAATGGTCTAATCTTATCTCTTGTTTCATTTTTATATGGCAAGTCTACATTTAAAGTATAAGATATACTGTGCTTCTGCTCAGTACCATCAAACCACAGTAAATAAATGCCGCTAAGTGCCACCATGAGTGAAGGAGCTTATAATGAGAAGTGTGAGTAGACATGTGCGCCATTCATCATTCTGTTCAGTCTGATATTGGGGCTCTTTTTATCAGCAGTATTCGTAGCAGTGTCATCACCTCTGGTATAAATCTTCTGTCAGTGTCTGTCGTCCCCGTGCCCTATAAAACTCATGCTCTCACATAATCACTGAATGACCTTTGGATGTCTTTCATTAACCTGTGACCTGAACCCTGCTGGCTTCTTGTTGGTAGGTAAATCTATAACATGACATTTGCTTATGACTCAACCTTTATCCTTGCTTAATAGTCGTGCCTTTCAATTTTTTTGTTCTGGAGCAAAAAGATAGTTACAATCTTAAAGCACAGCTTGGATTTCAAAGGTTGGAACACAGTATTCACCTAAGTGTCTCCTAATAGACTTTCTAATATTTTTCCACTGCTGCTAACTGAATCTTATCAATTGTAAGTTGATGCAGGATGTTAGCCTCGCAAATAATATTTTTGTTTCTGACAAATTTATTTTCTCTCAGATATTTTCTTCTTGCTGTGCACCCCTAATCAGGGATTAGGGATTGATTAATTTAAATTCAGTTGCGCAGCTGTGCCACAGTTTAGCCTAAAATTTCTGGTCTGGAGATGAGGGTAGGTATTGCACATCAATAATAGTAATAATAAAAATAATACAAGATTTTGTTCTCGTGAGGATGAAGTGGGCTGGAAAGCAGTTACTCCAGTGCTCTATGTTGCCGACATCTTACTGCAAAGCCTTGGTCAAGCTACTTGCTTTTTCTATGACTCATTTACCTCACTTGTAAAACGGACCATGGTGAAACTGTACTCTGCAGAATAAAACATGAAAAATGGCTTCTATTTACCTCTTGTGTGCTTGGGAACCAGACTGATGCTCTTATTAACCCTGCTCAGCTAAGTGTGCGTACAGAGTTGAAAGCATACTGAATTATATTTCTTCTCCGTCAGCCCTACCTCCCCCCTGTGAATGTGCCCCTAATTACAGTTAACTATAATTAGTGCCAATTGACTAAAATTCTTAGCAGTTGTATTTCTGCAAACCCACTCATGAAAGGGGCTCTCAGTAGCAAACAGGGAGGTAGGCAGATAGGATTTGTGTGGGAATTGGAAGCGGGATGTTCATGGAAAATTGCAGGACTGTCTGATGCTCCCTTGGGGAAGGGTTGCAGGAATGGGCTCCATCTCTGCAGGGAAATGGGAGAGAGGAAATGGATACGGCACCGGAGGTAACCGGGGAACATGAAATGCTGGTATTAACTGTGAGGGAGGAGGTGGGGAGAGAATGGTGTGGATAGGTTTGATGCGGTCTGTCTGCGGGGTGCTGTGGTCCTGATTCAGTCATTTGAGTGACCACAGAAAAGAGCACGGGGCTTACTGCAGGAAGATCAAGGTAAGAACCTGAGTAAATGTACATGGAACAGCTTTTGCATCTTCTGCTAAAGTGCTGTAAATCACCCTGAAGCAATGTGAAAATAAGAAAATTAGATAGCATTATCTTCTCCTCAACCCTATATATACCCCTTTAATAAGGGTATTTTATCAGACTTGTGTAGTTATAAAAATTTCAACTAACTTGTGTAATGGCTGCAGTGTTTCCTGAGGCATATAATACACACACACTCATTAAATACATGTCTTGATGATTTTGCTATGTAGAAAGCTAAAGCAAAATGCCAGCAGTTTGTTCCTGGTTTCTCTCTCCCCATTTCTTTTTACTGTGTTCAGGAATGGCAAGTAGGTTATACTTCTCTCTCCTGTTTTGGTATGAGGCTGTCTCTGCACAGCTGGAGGGCCTATCTCTTCTCAGCTTGTGATTAAGCACCATCAAAATGGGGAAAATTTCAGGGAATTGGGAACGAACAGATAAGCAGTTTGTCTCTTCTTTGACTTACCGTGTTTTGATATAGCATTCCTCTCTTTTTATCAGTATTGTCCTCATTTCTCCTTTTTCTCTCTTCATTTCTTCTATGCTTGGGTATGGCTCCTTTGATATCAAGGGCAAAAACCCCTAGTGTTGGTATTTTGCACTTCATGAAACACTTTGAAGAAGTTACGTGGATAGCAAAGGAAACTGTAGCAAACCACAGATGTCAACACATACCCAACCCTGGTGTTCACTGACTGCTGTAACTCCTCCCTCTCTGGAAAGAGAGGTTGTTCTAGGTGTCAGCCATCTCCACTAGAAGGTGACACCACTGCATGTGCTTGGGACCAGCACTCTGTGAATGACTCCAACATTGTCTGAAACATCAGCTTCCTTGTGGTGTCTCAACTGTGGATACAGGAGATAATCAAGGGATGTGGCTGCAGCCCTTTGACAGGGAGCAGAGATGATGTCTGCTTCAGTCCTTAGAACCATCTTTCTCATTTTCAGGTCGCCACAGAGAAATTTTCATGTCGTACAGATGTGGAACAGCTGAGAACTCATTTCCTGACTCCAGGATCATTACATAGATGGTAATAACAAACGTAATACCACTTATGTATGAATAGTTTGATAACACCATGCCTTTTATTCAACATACGTGTACTTTTTTTAATCTTCTGTTAAAATGAGAAAGGATAATGAAAGGGTAAGGAAAGAAGAGATTTCCCATCATGTGTGATAGCCCCTACTTCTTAGCTCATTTGTAAGCACCTTGGCCTTCCCAGTTTAACATACAGCTGTTTTGCAGCTCACAGGCAGCACATGGGGTAACCATTGAGCAGTGTGATAGAACTGGTGGTAAGTTAAACCAAGACCTGGTTAGGTGCCAGTTCCAAGAAAGAGTGCATACAAATGTCTTGGTAAGAGGCTGTTGCCAGGGCAGTCTCCTTTCATTGGCAAAAGGGGAAAAAAGGGGCAACATAACCTGTCACACTAATCCCTCAGCCATTAAGGCCTATGAGTGCCCTCAGGGCCCTGACACAAAGTCCTGCAGTGGCAGGGAAATAGGGGAAGACAGCAGGGAACTGTGGAAAATGTGATGGAAAGGTAATTTCCCCCAGAAATGCCTGGTGCCAGTCTTCCCTTGGGCCCCAGCATCCCTGGTGGTGCCTGTGATGTGACCTAGTGCCTGGACACATGTTTGTCATGTTTCTGGACAGGGATCTGTTACGTCTGGTTTCACTGGAAATTAATGTTATAATTATGAATAATAATAATAATGACAATAACAATAAGATACTAGAGTACTTCAGAGCTCTAGCTATGGATCAGAACAACATTGTGCTAGGTAGAGCAAAGTCCTTTCCATCACCACTGGAGAGTGAGATGAATAAAGTCACAAAAGTGTGGGAATAGAATGAGGAATTAAAGGATTGTATTTCTCTACTTTTTATTTGGATTTCCAAATACAGTTGGAAAAGGTTGTCAGGGTGAAATTTGGCAAAGTGCAGTTGAGAACCTCTGGAAAAAAGTAGATTTTGAGGAGAAACATATAGAGCAAGGACCCTGTCCCTTAGATGGCTCAGTCCCACAGACCTGAGTGGGCTTTTGATCTGGCCGTGGCAAAGCAGAAGATTTTCACCAGATGACGACAACTGAGAGGACTTGGGAAGACAGCAGCAAAGAAACACAAATGGGTGGTTAATTGTGTGACCCACAGGGAGCACTGGAAGACATTAATGGGTATAAAGAGGCCATATTTCCATAAATGACCATTAGTCTTCTGCAAATGTTCCTTGAAATGTAAAGGAATGATTTTCCCTCTCCAATTAATCATCCTAGAAATCCTCCTTCGTGTAATCTTGAAAACACGGGAGAGGACTTAGTATCAGCAAATGTTGCCAGATGTACAAAATGGCAGAGTAATGCATTGTATAAAATGATCTTGGGTGGCAGAAACTGGATAGGAAGCCAAGAATACTGCACCAACATTTGAGCTTTTCTGTGAGAGGCGTTGCCAGCCTCAGGAGGGAGCACTGGATAATTTATAGGTTAACATTTTCTTTTTATGTGAATAGCATTTTTTCTCATTTATAGTTAATTAGGTTAAGCATGCATGGGGAGCGAGGGAGGAAAGACTTTTAGAGAGAATCTAAACGATTAGTAATTTGAATGAAGTAAAAGAATCTGCTAAAAGATGTAGCTCTGGAATTAAATATGTTGCTATAACAAGTGTAAGTATCAGATAGGAATTTTAAAGGTTCTTACATTAATTATAGCAGCAGCATAAAAAGAGGTAGAGCATATTTACAGATTTGGCACGTGGATTCTTTTGACAAGTAGCTGCTGTTTCATTTTACTAGAGGAGGAGAAACTATTTGTCCCAGCATTTCACAGGTTTATATCTTTTGCACACATTTCTTGTCTTGGGGGTTTTGGCTCACGTACAGGATCAGTTAAGGTAAATTACAAAGTAAAATGAACATTGACTTAACCACTGAGTTTCTTCAAATCTTTTTTCCTGTATAAAATCTTCTTGACACTTCCTGGTTGGCTGAACATTTTTTTTGGCAGATTCTGTGTGTCCATCTATACGCAGGGAGTGGAACAGTTTCACTAAGGCCCATCTAAAAATGCTGCACCATACCTAGACCTGAACAAACGTTTGCAGACACTCAGAATGGTTCAGGGCATTAAAATCACCTGGGCTGCAGTTAGATTACTGGTATACAGACGTGTCAAATCCAGTATGCTGATGGTGAGGATCGCACAGTGTGCTGCCATCTCCCACCTCCCATCACGAGGGCAGTACATCTCTCCTTTGCAGCATGGCACCACGGGCTCTCTCCCGTCCTGATGCCCCATTTGCCTGACACAACCGACTGCTTTCCCCAACATGACTGGTTCTTCACTCGCTGCCTCTGTTGGGTGATCCAGCGCACAGCTGTTGGGGCCAGAACTATCATGTTCCAGGATATCTGTGATGAGCAAGACAGAGTTTTACAAGAAAGAAGACATTGATGAAAAATTAGTTTAAATGCGTTTCCAGCTGGAATGCCTTCCATGTAATTTTTATGAAAATACTCAGAACAGTTTTTAACTAATTTTCAGTCTCCTTTGTGGATTACCCTTAAGTGTTGGGTGGAGTTTTTAGAGTAAGCATAGAAGTTCAAATTTAAGCACTTTTATCTGAGGGATTTGACGTACAAGTTCTCCCAGCTGAAGAGCATGCAGTGCTTACAAAAATCAAGCAAGGCTTTGAGTTAGATACTAAATATAGATTTAACAGTTTATCCCCTGACACCCAAATAATTCAAGAAGTGAATGATTTATGATTTCAAGAAACGAATGATAATTTATCCTGGAAAATGCTGCCATTTTTATTGCACATGAGCAGTTCCACATGGAGAGTTATTCAAAGTAGTTTAATGTTTGTGCTGCATCTATAAAAGCCAGTTTCTTTTTCTAGACATGGGTCTTTAAAATAGCCTAAAGGAACTGAATGCTGAGCCCCAGTGAAAGCGAGGGAGAGATAAGCACCTAATTTGCTTATGTCCGTTAGAAAATCCCAGTGTTTATTGGCTTACACCCAGCTGTAAGTCCAGCCCAAACGCTGCACCAGTTGTGCTACAGCAGTACAGTCTGCAGTCCTCTCTATTAGGCGACTTGAAGGAAGATGCCCCCCAGGTTGTTTGGATTTACATTGGACGCATGCTTTTGTGTTTTCAAAAAGAAGAAAACAGAGCATGCACAGGTGGTGCATGGCTGCTCTGTGTGGGGGATGTGGCCTGACTCTGGCCAGAAGCAGAGCAAAGCCCATACCCAGGTCCAGAGCCATCCAGGAACAAATGAGCGTAGCCCTGAACTGCACTGCCCTGCACGTGATGTGCTGACACAACAGCATTTTAGAAGCGATTTTGGGTTCTTCCAAAATGACACGTGTGGTGCAATGGCTTTAAATGTCTTGCCCTAGGTCGCAGAGGGAAGCAGTAGCAGATGTGGTAGCAGAACAGAGGCGCCTGACTCAGAGCCCAGTCACCTTCTGAACCGCGGGCAAAGGCAACGCTTTCACACACACACAAGGAGAAATGTCACAGGAAACAACAGTTCATCCAAGCTCATAGTGAGCTTGCATAAATATGTTTTTGTTGAGCAGCCAGAGCTGAGGACCAGAGCTCAGAAGTTTGAGTTCAGATCCTGACTAACTGTATCTTTGCCTCTGGTGACTCCTGCAAGTTTTTCACTTCCCCACCAGCCTGCAAAGCCGGGGCAGAAATGATTTATGGAGTGATTGTGAGAATTAGCTAATTAACACTAAGCAAAAGCTCTACCAGAGAGCTGGCTGCTCTGCCCTCAGTGGAAAAGACTGTGATATGTGCTCTGTCCAGGGGTTGGTAGACTGCTCTTGCAGGGTAGGATTTAACTGCACAAGGGTTCATCAGTTGCTGCTGTGATCATTGGGAGGTATTTTGACCACCCTCTAGCCTGTGTACGTGCCCAGCAGCCCCATTGAGCAGAGCTCAGTGAAGATGTGACTGGTGAAGGAGGAGGTGAGTTTAAGCATTTTGGACATCTGCAGCTCCCACAGAGCTGCTCAAAGAAGGGGCTATGTAGAGCTCTGCTGAAAATCAGAGGAGATCATCGCTGCCTGCAGAGCAGCACCAGATCTGGAAGGGCAGCATGAGCTCTGCCATACCTAATTGCCGCACCTCTAAAACATGTCCACAGCTCTCTATGAAGTGATTCCAGCACAGCTAGAAAACTAACAAACTAACAGGGCTTGTCCCTCTGCCTACGTGTTGGTTCCTGTATGTGGCAGGAAGGGCCACAGCAGAAGGATCCAGGTTGGAAACCACAAGAATGTTCATTTCCTAATGTCCCTTCTGCTTAAAAATTCAGGTCAGTTCACAAGGGGACAGTTTTGGGGTTAGGTAGGTGGTCTGTGTGCAGCTGCTGCTTTATTTGTCCCAGCAGCATCAAATGTCTTCTCTCTTTGTCTGAGAGAAGAAGGAAGGGAGGCAGGCATGATATTTTGTCACCGGTGAAAACTGCGATATCCAAGGAGAGGGATCAAGAAGGGATAAGGAGGTCTGATGTGGCATCTCTTCCTTTCAAGACCTGGATCACACCATTGACAAGTGAAACGCTTCTTGGACCAGTTGGTTTTCCCATCTTTGGGAAGGGCCCCTTCACTTGCACTTGGGCCATGTCTCTTCTCCACCCCTATACCTGACTGTCAGGGCAGTGGGAGGTGCTGGGGTGCAGCAACATGCTGCCTGGAGAAGTGCATAGCTCTGCACAGCTTTTGCTATTTCCTTGTGGTATCAGTCCTGGAGGCTGTACCAGTGGATGTTCCAAGGCTTGGCTCATAGTCACGTTCCCTTGAGAAATAACGATTTCACTGGAAGAAGTGGCCAGTATGTTAAAAATGTAGGAAGGACATAATTTTTCATGCAAACATTTTCTGTCAATATGGATAATGAGCTATCTGTGCTAAGTTTCCTTCTTGGGGTGAGAGGCAAAGAACTGGACTTCGTGCTGAATGATGGTTGTGGGAAGCCAGTACTATTCAGTCATTTGCAAGCAGCTT